AAAAGTGTGCATGGAAAACTTCGTCCTCTTGAGAAAGTGACAGAAGAAAGTCCTCCTCTTATAAGACAATGGAACACCTCACCCCGCATATCATGTGGCGTAAAGTTTACCCGTGAAAGGATGTACCTTGTCCTCATCCTCAGCCTTACCCTCACCATCCCTATGCAATTTCTGGAAGTAATGACTATCACCTCCGCTTGGGAACAGTTAACAAGTGCATGCTTCAGTTTGTAAGAAGAATTGAGAAAGAAGCGGAGATGGCCGAGACTAAGTCGAGTTTTTTTTTCCTCTTGAGACTAGATGTTCAGCCAAAGTGGGTTTTGCAGCACGCTTGTGTCTTGTTGAGAAAGAACTGGACTCTGCACTGTACTACTGGTGATTATTTCAGTTGAAAAAAAATATTGCGAATAGTTTTCTGCAGTTTATTTGAAATGTTTTCAAAGAGCCGCGCAAAATTACTCGATTAGTGCATAAAAGTAGCTCTACTCATTTTTAATATTCGTTTCTCGGCTGAAATGATGCTGATTCATTGTGGGAAAAAAGGGTGCGCCAACTGTATTGTTCTCTGTGTGGCTGAGATAAGGGGGAGACTATTGTGGAAGTGTTTCATTCAATTAGTGATACAAAATAGAGAAAGTTGGCTAAAATGTCGATTTGTGAGGCCTTGCAATTTTGTTCCTATGAGTAGGGGAAGAAGTCCTCGTTAAATAAATTGGCTGGAATCTAATTCATTTTGGCGGTGCCAGAACTCGTCCTCCTGATTGGATGGTGGAGGTAATTTGAGCCATAAAGTCAATTTGAAGTGCAATAACTTGACCGTGACAAATTGAGTTGATGAGTGTAGGGTGGAAATTCCCCTTCCTCTCATAAAATTCCTAATAAAGTGCAAGTTACTTTGGTGGTTATTTAACGAAGAAAGTTATTTGTCGTTGACAACCAAGTGTTCTGTGACAGGAATTAAGGAGCTGTAGAAGAATACCTAATATATATTTTGTCCATTAGATAATCAGCACCCCAGACAACAATTTAGTCCTTGCTCTGAAAGAGACACCAGTGCCCTGCGAATTGGTATTCGTTAAGTCTCTTTTTTCCGGAGGCTAAACAGCTAGCTTAGTCTCATCCACCTCTGTTTCTTCCTTATCATTCTTTCCAAATTGGAGCTTGCAATTGTTCAATGTCACCATAGCTCCCCGAGACTTCTCTGAAGATAAAGGAAGACACAGTGCTCGGGCAGAGTGTGTATTCACGACGTGAGGTAAGGCTTGGAGCTACCGGCACGGCCTGCAGACCGGGCCGCCTGGCGGACGTACAATGGCAGAGCCCCTTAGTGATCCGTTACCAAAACCGAAGGTTAAACAAAAAACTAGGTTGTTATAGACACTACTTCCAGAAATGCCATAAGCGAAATTAAAGTGAGCATAAGGACAGGAGATATCTTCTAATGGGTGAGTTCTGCGGTAAGAGATATGGTGTGAGGTGCGCTACTGCCTTATAAGAGGAGGACTTTCTTCCCACTAAGTGGTCCTGACTGTTTCCTAAGAAGGCAAAGTTTTCCATACACACTTTC